TCAGATTTTCTTAAAGATCATACTTAATAAAAATCATTTTGAACAACTTTATTGCAATGCATACAGCGTCCGGTGATTTTGATTGACAGGTCAATACATGTGCACTTAGTGTAATACTTCTTAAGCAGAAAAAATATACAGAGAGTGACTATGACGGACTATGAAATCAGAAAATATTTAATAAAGAATGGGTACAACTGATATAGAACTGATTTTTTGTCTATGTAAATGGATAGGATAATCAGGATTAAAAGGGAATCTCTCTCTCTCTCTCAGACATGTAAATTTCAGTATCTTGCGTAATGAAAAATCTTCTATTATAGAATATGAATTCTGTATACATGTTAATGGTAATTATAACCAAATGTTCCAGATTTAATTGTATAACGAATTTATAAATCAAAGGCCTATAGTTGCAATAATGTCTCCGAATAAAATCAAGAGGGGGAGGGGGGAGGGGGCTTCAAAAGAATTACATGTACATACTCGGTAATTTTATGTCTTATGAATTAAAAGGAAAATACTTAAGGTTGCATGTACATACATATGATTATATAGCATATATATAAAATTGTGTTCATTCCTTTATCTAACATATCAGCAGACCTTTGCAGATGTTTTTGTATCATGTTTTTAGCGTAGCATTATTTCACACAGAAACGCGTAACTTTCACATAATGTTAACCCTTTGAGTACTAGTATTTCACAAAAATCCAAGAATTGCTTTTTCTCATCTTTAATAACTTCTCGGGTATATAAAAGTATGGATCATGTATAATAAATAACACTATAAGACTTTTAATCAATGAAATATACGTGTTAAAACCAAATCCAATCTATAGATTGATTTTCTTTCTTTTAAGTTGCAGATATCAATTTATCTCTAAAGGCTTTACACCTACTCTTCTATCTCTCAGTTCCCTTTTGAGCACATATAATATTTTAGAATCGAAAATAAGACTCGGATTCCGGGATAATTTCGCATTCAAATTAGAGAATGAATTAAGAATATTTTTAAAAATATAATCATAACAGACATTGCAGATTTACACTACGCTGACAACTTTAAACTATGCATATACTGAAAGCAGTAATTATAACCAACGTAATCTTTCATGCAGAAGTGGATATGGAAACTCAAAGTCTAAACATTTTTTTATGTGAAAAGTGTGGATATAGACGTCTGCGACGTAATGGATACTACCTCCGCCTTTTTCTCGAAAGTTCTATTCCCACTTACAAGTCAGTTATCTATCTTTGCTCATCGTCACTACGTAAATAGAGAAAATGAATTTATAGACGGAACCTTAAATCTCAAAAATGCAGAATCCGATTGAATAAATAATATGTTTAGTATTTTTGTAGAATAATTTGTATATACATCGCTGTAATGTATACTGCGTACAACATTATTTTCTTCAAAGTGCTTAGTTGACACAGAACGGATATTTTTTTTAGATATAAATTTGTAAATCAAAAACTTTCAATATACAGACTAACACTACACAGCCAAATTTAAACTAATAAGCATATAGTGAATTAAGTAACATGCAAAAGAGAGATTATCTAATGTGTAAATATGTTGATCTGGAGAGCGTATATATGTCTCTAACGTCATCAATACTATTTCCGCCTTTATCTCGAAATTTCTATTCTCATTCACAGGTCAGAGTTATCTTTCTTTGCCCACCTTATACATACTACGTAAATAGAGACAATTTCGGTACCGAAAATATACAAAATGCGGAATCTGATTTAAAAACAAATTATATATTTAGTATTTGTAGAGAAATGTCTGTTTCACATAAGAATATCTCGAAAAAATATCTGAAAACAAAAAAATCAAAAATTGACCAAAAACAAATTCACTTCCGGTTCGGACAGGAAGTACTGGAAACACACGAAAACAACTTCAAAACAAATAGAATATCATGATCTAATACTCCTGTAAATTTCATATCTTCACCTCAAACCGTTTCCGAGAAAACTGCCGGACAAAAGTCCATTTTAAAATTCGAAAATCGGCCATAACTTCAGACCGGAAGTGAATTTTTCAAAAAACGGAATTTTATATAAATTTCATATATCAACCTACTTACATGAGAAAATTTGTGAAAATCTATCCAGCCATCTCTGAGTAATCGCGCTCACAAAATTTGGGAGGAATAATAATAATAATAATAATAATAAAAAGAAACAATACAAACACTATAAGTCTTCCGTTGTGAACGGAAGACTTAATAAGAAACAGAGTAAAAACAATATGTTCCCCAACTTCGTTTGGGGAACATAATAAGAAGAAGAAACAGAGTAAAAACAATATGTTCCCCAACTCTGTTTGGGGAACATAATAAGAAACAGAGTAAAAACAATATGTTCCCCAACTTCGTTTGGGGAACATAACAAGACGTGTATTTTCAACACAAACATGCTGTATTTTTAAACACTTGTATGCTGAACATGATGAAATAATTTGTTTCACTTTATTTTCACCACATGTTCATGGAACATCTATTTTGTTTCTCAGATCTTCATAATACAATGTACCTGGGTATATAAAAATTGTTATTATTTATATAACGTATATTACCTTAATTGTGATGTCTAAATTGTTCGAAGTTTCTCTGAGTCAGAAATTTTAGTGAGGAAATTTGTTAAAGCGGTAATCTTTCAATGACAAATTCTTGGGGGAAACTATATATTATTGAGGAATGTTTCAACTAATACCCTAATTTGAAAGAAACTTTTGTTTTATTTCTTAGGCAATTGAATATCTGTACACACTTTATTACCACTATAAAAGTATAGATACAAACATGTACGTAAACTTTTCCTAGCCACATTTCAGCAAAATGTATCTATATTTACCGACTCTATTTTTAATAGTTTTTCTTATACATGTACAATACAATACACACAGAAATTTTCTCCTTTAATAAGATATTAAATACCACACAAGAGACAAAAGAATTGTTAAATTTTATAGAAAATATATATTACAGAAATTCATTTTATATATTTATTCTTTAATTTGTTACACTAATATATCATATATGTGTTGCGCTGTATCAAAAGTTCAGTAATAAATGTTTTTTAACTTGAAGCATCTATTTTTGTTACATTATTTTACAAATTACATGTACAATAACATGTATTTCAAGGAAACCCCTGAACACAATGGAAAATTCGATTTTTAGACTTTAATAAAACTGTATAATATGAAAAAAGGATACACATTGAGTTAATATTTGGTTCATTTTCAACAATGTTAGCTAAGGTACCTTTATTACTCCAAAAAAAATTTGTTTGTCATGGTCTAAAATAATGTAAAAAATACTTAATCTATTTCAAATGTATTATTTAATTAACTACATATTTCTGTTTTTCACGGGCATATTTGAGATTTTTTTAAAGGACTTAAGTCTACTAAGAAGGTAACTTAAGTTTAGTCTGAGTTTGAGTAAGAAAAAGAACTTAAGTTTTTTCGAGAAATGCAATATTTTGAGTTTTCTCAAATTTTAGAGATTTTTCTCAGAAATTTGAGTAAAAACTCAGACTTAAGTCTGAGATTTAACTTAAGTTTTTTTTCGAGAAATCCATTTATTTTGAAGTTATTTAGTTGAATTATCATTTGATTTACCTGAGACTAGTATTGTCCGATATTAGAACAAAAGACAAGGGTGTTAATGACAACTGAAGCAATTCTTTCAAGAATGCAGGCTTAAATAAAAACTACTCAATATCTAGGGAATCAGCTACACTGTAGAAGGCAATTGAAGTAATTTTATAAGTTTCGAATGAAGAGTGTTAACAAAATATTTCTTCCTTTAAACGTACATGGAACTTAAAGCAATTATCGTACAGACAATCTAGCGAATGATGATTTTGGAATGGAATGAAAAATGCAGATGTGAACAATCACAGAGAATAAAACAGGTGCTGAAGGTGTAATAAGCCTTTTCAATTTTTTTGTTTATCGTCCGATTGTACATGGACCTTGATTTTTAACACCCCAGAGCAGAAAAACAAACATACTGTTATCAGCGATCCATAATTAATTACTTTGAGGGAAACGTTAAAATCCTGTCAAATTCTTTCAAAATTTGTAGCGAATCTATTGAAATTATTATTTAATTATCAAATACCCCCTTGATTTTTCAAAAAACAAATTTCCTCTACGAGAAAACTGAAATCAAATTGTTTGTATGTTGTCCTTTATAGTGTCTAATGTTTGAGTTTTGTTTTCTAACACATTTTGGGGGTTTTAAAGTGTTTTTGTGTTTCTCTTGTGAGAGAGCCTACGCTTGGAAAACTCTCTCACTACAACCAATATATAAGGAGCAGTTCAATATATTTTGCTGTAAAGATCCGACGAGTGTATAGACGTACATCTTACACAGCCGTGCTACTCGATCGTGATGAAATTATCAAATTTAACGTATTTTTTTTCCAAAACAGGACAAAAGTATCATGGAAAATACAGGTCAATACATTATTTTCAATGCACATAAAAACAAGAATGAAACGAAAAAAATCTAAGACCACGAAAGGAGTATTATATGTCGGCCTTTGCATGTTCTTCTTCCTGTTACCGTATACTTACATTTGTAGTATATTCGGTTTTATTGGAACTTTATATTTTTTTTTTATTTTCCAATTCTGTATGATCATTGTTTCACAATCATCATTCTATATATGAAATTTTACTAATTTGCTGTTTTCTAAATTATCACACTTTTGTATCTTTTATTCAGTAGCAGTCCAATTTTTGAAGGATATCAGTACTGAGACAGTCTGATATTACGATTAATATCAAACTGCTCACTAATATCGGACTGCCGAAGGTACATTTTTATACTGCAAGAAAAATGTAAAATGTCTAAGAAATAATGAAAGCGCTTACGTTTTACTAACACTGTTGACTTGTCTTTTTTTATTCTGATATTAATTACCGGACATTGTGCTATAACATACTATACAGTTGATAGTGCAGTACGTACATGGTGCTACAGGCTCTGGACGAGAGCCACAGAACACTGCAGGAAATGGTTCACACTTGTTGGTAATTTGTGAAAACAAGGAGGGATATTGGCATTCCTGTAATGGATTGGCCCATCTCTTACAGTGGAAATACATAGCACAGTTGTCAGGGTTTGGCAAAATATCATCTTTGTGATATTTACAGTAGTCTTTCACATCAACTGCAAGAAAAAACAAGCAAATTCAAAGAATTGTGTTCCCCCGCTTTCGGTGTCTTTTTGGGTGAGATGTCAAATATGAACGCTCTATCATATGTCACATAGAAATTATCACCAAAGTTGAATTTTGAAAAAGTAAGGTCAATCGTGAAGGCCAAGGTTAAGGATTCAGAAATCATAGCATGCTCGGAAATATCATGTCATAGGTAATGCACATGTCAAATATGAAAGCACTATCTCTTCTCAGTCAAAAGTTAAAAGGATTGATTGATTGATTGTATATTGTTTATCGTCTCTCTCGAGAATTTTTCACTCATATGGAGACGTCACCATTTGCCGGTGAAGGGCTTCAAATTTAGACCTATACTCGGCACTCAGGGCCATTGAACAGTGAGGGTTCTTTATCGTGCCAGCGCCTACCGTGACACGGGACCTACGTTTTTAAGGTCATATCCGAAAGACCCGTGACTTTCACTTCTGATGCCGAGCGCTTGGCGAAGGAACAGTCACCTTCTATTTTTACGTCTTAGGTTTGACGCGGCGCCGGGAACGAGAATCGAACCCGGGCCTCCCGATCACGAAGCGAACGCTCTACTACTAGGCTACTGTGAGCGGTAAAGTTAAAAGGAACAAGATGTGTTTGTAAAAGGCTGGTGACCCCGTATATGTATGGCAACAAATCGAAGATAAATCTTTTCTTAAATGCAAATTAAATATATTTGGTATCCAGATTTTAAAAAGTAGGCCAAACTCAAAGGTCAAGGTAAAGGGGTTAAAGTTCTTGGTATCCAATGAAAGGTCTTCTCAAATGGATTAAATATGTGAAGTGAAGTATGAAACCCCTAGCACTTACCATTCAAACGTTATGGCCAAGGTTAAAGTTTTAAAAAAGAAGAAGTCAAAAGTCAAGGTCAAAGGGTCTAAGTGTTTGATATCAAATGAAAGGTCTTGTAACAAGGATTAAATATATGACGTTTGAAAGCTCTACCGCGAACCCTTCAAAAGTTATTACCAAGGTTATGATTTAAAAAAAAATAGGCAAAACTCCAAGGTCAAGGACAGAAGGTCAAAGTTCTTGTTATCCAATGAAAGGACTTTTGACAAGGATTACATATGTGATGAATGAAAGCCCAAGCTCTTACTAGTTATGGTTTTTCATAAGAACGGAAATCTCTATGGTCAAAGTTGTTGGTATCCAATGAAAGGTTTTCACACAAAGAATTTATATATGAGGTATAAAAGTCCTAGTATCATCCGTTCAAAAGTTATGGCCAAAGTAAAAGTTCAAAATTTTTGTGTAAAAGTGGGTCATACTCCGAGGTCAAGGTGAAATTTGGTGGTACTCAAAGAAAGTTCTTGTCAGAAAGAATACACATGTGAAATATGACAGTTATAGCTCCACTAAATCAAAAGTTACGGGCAAGGTTAAAGTTTTTGTGACGGACGGACAGACAGACAGACTGACTGACAGACGAATGAGATTTAATGTCCCTTTCGCGAAAGGGGGTGGGGACAACAAGAAGTCTACAAGATAAAAGATTTTTATTTTCATAAAAATTGTGATTGTAGATATCACTGTTAAGCACACAACTTTGATCGGAAGTTATTAACGCTGCCAATACATAACAGATTTACTGTACATGAATTTTAGTTTATGCAATATCTCTCACTATGTTAATCCACTATTCCACAGATTGCCATTAGAACTCTTCAAGAAAAAGGCCAGTGGGCCTTGCTGATCACCTGAGTATTGTGAATTTCTTTTACTTTGTCCCATTTTAAACTAAAAATAAAACTCTTTGTGGGCGATACTTTTGCTGTGTGTTTTCTGAAAGAATATTCCAATGAAAATGGATGCTTTCCGCAACATAAGAAAATACGGAAAAATGCACATGTTCATGAGGTCAAATTCGGCTCTAAGGAGGTCACATATGGGAAAATGATATGCATTTTTTGGAAATTCTATAATTCAGAAAGGAATTTCTGACTTTTATCAAAATACAGGGCAAAAGAACTTTATTCGGTAATAACCAATATTTGCCCCCCAAAGCAAACTTTGATGGAGATGTATTTAATTAAGTTCTTAAACAGGGGAGTATATGCTGACTTCAAAGCACTAAATATTTTCATAAGTAATGACGCCATATGTACGTAATGACGTCACAAACATGACGTAAATTTCAGTTTTTTATGAATTTTACAGAAAAATGTACATATTTCGTCGATATTTTGAGTAAAAGTCACCGAGCGCATGTGTGTTCAGGATCAATATTTTGATATAATGTGTAGAATGATAATATCAATGAAATATGTCAATATTGTTCCTGAACAAACTTGCGCTCTATAAATTTTAAAGCTAAAATTGTTGAAATTTTGTCCATTTTGTCCTCTTTCTGAAAAAAGGTATAAAATCGGACTAGTTTGTGACGTCATAAAAACAAAAATTGTGAATACACTGCTTTGACACTATAATATTTTCTGTTAATTTATATTTCTCATACAATTTATTGAATTCAGCACATTTCAGGAAGTTTTCAAAATTTGACTTTTGTGGGGGCAAATATATGCAATATACCGCATATAGTTCTTTGTAGTGAAATTTGATATCGCTGCAGACTGTTTAGATCTGATATACTAGTATAAAAGAAAAAAAAATATCGAATCATAGATAACAGTATTTACGCCCCTGTCAGCCCTTACTTAAGAGTAATCTTTTTTCTTGCTAGTTGATGAAATGCCCTGTGGTTCGTTTTCCAGCTTTATGTAGAATGAAACTACCAGGTATTTATGGAATAGTTCTTCAAGTCTTCAAAGGGGCAGATTTAAAAAAAATAAAATTTTGTATACATCTCCCCTCATGCAATAGTTGCGGAGAGGATAAAGCTTTGCTACTATGCGTTAGGGTGTGTGGGGTGCGAGTGTGTGTTTGTGGATCCGTAACAACATTTGGTCAAAATGTAAACAGATGAACCTTTGTATTATCAATTACTGTATTGGCTTCATCATACTTGTGTGGCATTGTAAAAGGATTTTTAAATTAATCGTTAAAATATTTCTTAAAATATAGCGTTTTACTACCTTCAAACACTGAGATTTTATATACGACTTGACAATAATACTCTCTTCCACTAATTTATATGATAAACTCGGGTCTCTTCAATATTGTCTCGGTAATTTATGTTCTACTTCGTACATTATGTATTTGCGTACAGTCATACTATTTTGCGTATCTTGAAGAAATGAATTAAAATTAAGTGCCATCTCTGACACTGAGTGATTTAAATAATTTGATGAACGTCGCGGTTTTCAAAATGTTTACAATAGGAAATTTATATTTGAGGTACATGTAATTCTTCAAAACATTCTATAAAAACATTTTCATTGTTTCATTGACCTCTGAACACTGTTATGTTGTCATATTTTCATTACGAATGATATTATTCATACGTATCTCAGTACGGTCGACTTTGGAAAACGAATACTGTATTTGTCAGCTATTTATTTGTAGTGCATTCTATCACTCTTGTCACACTGTCAGTACTGTAACGGTGGCCGATGAAAAGCGATAACTGTGTATAATTGTGAAAAGGAACTGTGTATAATCAGGTGTACTGTGAGGCATAATGAAATTAAAAAAATTACCTGGGTTGACAAACTCTGAACATTGTCTTGTTCTGACATTAAAATATCCGTTTGGACAAGTCTCCACAGCCACTGTTCTGTTGTGAAAACACCTAATATAGTGTCCTGTCCATAGAGATCTGGGATCAGGATTGAAACCATCTATCAATCCACTGCAGCTTGGGAATCTCTCTGGACAAGGTTTACAGGAGTTATCTCCCACGAGACATATGTTCTGCTCATAGTCACATGGTTCAACAGGAATCCTTCTTCCTTGACAGTTAACTGTATCAAAATTCTTACATTTTCCAGAAGACACATCAAATAGTTGAGGATAGGAACATTCAAGTTTGTAATCTCCAAACCTTGTCCTGCCTGTGGAACAGTTCACATACATAGCACAGTTGATGGGGTCAGGCATTATGTCTGTTGGATGGTGCTGACAATAGTCCAACACGTAACCTGAAATTCAACCCACACAAACTCAGTGACAAGAGAACAAATCATTCAACAAAATGCAAATATGATTTACCAATCAATGTACAATATGCTAGTATGATTGTCCTCCTGTGGCAAAAATAACATTGGACAGTTGAGGAATCGCTCTTCAACGCCAGACAAAAGGGCGACGAAACTATCGGAAACATCCTTAATTTAGAACAATTTAATACATGCAATGCAGTAAGATAAAAAAAAAACAAGATGCGTGTGAGAAACACTATGCGCCCGGTGGCAACAAATACCATAAAGGTCACAGTCAAAATCACAAGGACATTGATACTGGTGTCATTTGAAAGAGCTTAATTAGTGGAGTATGCATACCAAATATGAAGTCTCTATCTGTCACGGATCAAAAGTTATACCGAGGTTTAAAGTTGACAACAGACAAATAAACAGACAGACCGACAGGACAAAAACAATATATGACCCGGATCTATCGATTCGGGTGCAAAAAATCTTTTTAAGCAAATACGTGTTTCAAATATAATCTATAACTGGAAACTCCTTATGAAATCACTAAAATTACCAAAAGACTTGCATGTATTGTTTAGAATATTTAATTCTAACTCGGTGATAAATACATGAAATTAACTACATAAATATTTTTAAAAATGAGTTAAATTTTAGTTTATCATAAGATTGAATAATTGCTTTCTCTCTGATTGGGTGCGATTCAACAATGTAGAAAAATACTACATCAGTACGTTATATTCACCTGCACGTGACCTTCGAGGTGAATATAAGGATTTATTTTCTATACATTGGTCTAAATATAGATCAGGAAATTCCAAACTCAAAACAAAATATGTTGGAAAGCTATTTCACTTGCTACCAACTTTCACTCAGGTGAAAATAACACTAGAGGATATTTAATTTGGAGTTGGATGGTCAATGGTATTGATTTAAATCCATACCTAATAGAACAATATGTTTTGGAAGAATGCTTCTCAGTAGGTGTAATAATAAATTGTTAAATTGAAGAATTTAAAAAAATGCATATTTTCTTCATTTAATCAATTATTCAATCTTCAAAAAAAAATGTTGACAAGGACAATAACTCCTTCTCAGGTACATGTAACTTCATTCAGGCATTTTCTGTTTTGCACTTTTAATGTAAAATAGTTTGCCTGATATTCACAATTCAAAAGTGTCTGACAAGTAGCAAATAATTAAGAGCTTTCAGGACCAGGATTATGCATTCGAACCGGTTTTTACAAAATTTTTAGCTCTACTGGTCATTATAATACTGTTTACAAAAAATGTACGATTTTATTTATGTTGACATATACATCTATTTATGTCTCCCATCTAAAATAATATGGCGACCTACAAATTATTTTTGCAATAATTGATAAATTTAAAGTATAATAAATGAAAATAAATGCAGTTTTTGTTAAACTTTTGTTAACCTTAAGCCACCTTCAATCTGTACAAAATCTTCGGTCTCCGTAAATATTGTACTCTGTTGGTGGCTAAATCATCGTATTGACCTCAAAAACAGAAATTATATAATAATATTTCAAATTTGTAAACTGTAATTTTTTTTATGAGACTAGCTCTACTGGTCTATATGGAGAACAAAAGACAAGAGGCCCATGGGCCACATCGCTCACCTGAGTAACTTTGTTGATGCAGTTCTTTACCAGATTTTCCCTCTTCTTATATATATTGTGCCCCCGTCTTTACTTTAATAATTTAGAATCTACACTACCCCAGAATGCTTCCACATAACTGTCAGCTTTTATGCTTCATGGGTTCTTGAGAAGAAGATTTTCAAAGATTTTTTTTCGATATATTTAATTTAAAATTTTCATTCCCTATATTGGCCCCACACTATCCCCAAGGGTCATGATTTTAACAATTTAGAATCAACATTAACCAAGGATGCTTCCATATAAGTTTCAGCTTTCTGGCCCAGTGGTTCTTGAGAAGATTTTTTAATGACCCCATCCTATTTTTGTCTTTTCTTGATTATCTCCTCTTGTGAGGGGGCGTGACCAAGAATGCTTTGTGCCAAGTTTGGTTAAAATTGGCCCAGTGGTTCTTGAGAAGAAGTCGAAAATGTGAAAAATTTACAGACGGACGGACAACGGACAAAATGTGATCAGAAAAGCTCACTTGAGCCTTCGGCTCAGGTGAGTTAAAAAGTAGCACTTAACCTTAATCAGGTCAGGACGATTTCCAAATAGAAGTCAAGAACGATAACTGAAAGTTGCTATAAATATACATCATATACACGTAAAATATTTTTCTGTCCAATCAGACAACAATATTTTTACACATCCCAAAACAAATTTTCCAAAGGAACAAAAGTAGAACACGTGCTTTTGTTTTTTCTTCAAAAAGATTTTTTGACAAAAAATCTTTAAAAGTAAGATGGCAAGTTTGGGAGAATAAGGTATTCCTCGCATATTTACCGTGAACAAACTGGGCATTTTCATCTTGAAAAAAGAAAATGACTGCATGTAACAATGTGATTGTTTACAGAGGAATAGATCACATCGCCAAGTTATCAATCATAACATTTGCAGAACATATTACATGTATTTGTTGGTAAAAATAATTTGCTTAGGTGTCCGATTTTCATCGATATCGCGGTGTTTTCATTGTGATAAAACTACTGCATACACTTGTTTATCGTTTAGACTACATGTAGTCTTAAAGTATCACGGGTTTATGAGCGCTGTATAAATACCATGTTATATACACTTTAAATGGACACAAGATAAAGGTAGAAACCAGAAGTCTCTGTCGAGACTGAAGCTCTACTGGTTTTACTTATAGTAAAGGAAGAGAAAAGTAGCAGTTATGAATTGAAACGTTTCAACAGCAATAAATAGAATAATGATCCTTGATTAAGTCTCTTTATGTTCTAAGTGTAGTCTACCTGCATGCCACATTATATTATAATCAGACTAAAACTGTATTTGGGGTAGCATCTTGATAGTATTTTACAGAAATTTCTATCTATAGTAACCAAGGCAATAATGTTCATCGAAATCAAAAAATGATAAAAAGAATTGTGAATCTTAGTGCAGTCTACTTCTGTGCAAAATTATATTGAAATCAGAACAAAACTGTAGGAGGAGTAGTATTTTGAAATTTCACAGAAAGTTTTATGTTAAGTAACTATGGCAACATTGTTCATAAAAATCAAAAACCGATACACCGAATTGTGTATCTCAGTGTAGTCTACTTGTGTGCCAAGTTATAAAGAAATCAGAACAAAACTGTAGGAGGAGGAGTATTTTGAAACAATTTCACAGAAATTTCTATTTTTAAAAACCACGGCAACACCGTTCACTGAAATCAAAAAACAATAAACAGAATTGTGTATCTTAGTGTAGTCTACTTGTGTGACAAGTTATATTGAAATCAGACCAAAATGTAAGAGGAAAAGCATTCTGAATCAATTTCACAGAAATTTCTATTTTTAATAACCACGGCGACACCGTTCATCGAAATCAAAATACGATAAACAGAATAATGTATCTTATTGTAGTCTACTTCTGGGCAAAATTATATTGAAATCAGACCAAAACTGTAGGAGGAGTAGTATTTGAAACAATTTCACAGAAATATCTATTTTTAGCAACCACGGCAAAACCGTTCATCGAAGTCAAAAACCGATATACAGAATTATGTATCTTCATGAAGTCTACTTGTGTGCCAAGTTATATTGAAATCAGAATAAAACTGTAGGAGGAGTAGCATTTTGAAACAATTTCAAAGAAATGTCTACTTTTAGTAACCACGGTAACACCTTTCATCGAAATCAAAAACCGATAAACAGAATTATGTATTTTAGTTAAGTCTACTTGTGTGCCAAGTTATATTGAAATCAGACCAAAACTGTAGGAGGAGTAGCATTTTGAAAAATTGTTTACAAACAGACAGACAGCTGGACAGACAGACGGACTGACGCCGTACGCATTACTATCGAATAAGTTCTTCTGGTCTCTGACAAGTAGAGCTAACAAGAGGCCCACGAGCCTTATAGGTCACCTGAGTATCATGTAACAACTTTCAAACAATGGAATTTGGTTTGTGTTCTAAACCAGAGGCCATGAAATTCACAATGTTGAATGAGGCCCCGTTGCTTATCATAATTATACACTAAGCATGCTTACTCTAGTTACTTAATACCCAGAGGTAGATCAAAGTGACAAAGAAAAAAATGCATTTCCACTTTGTAACCAGTTGTCCAAGACCCAACAGGAAGCACAAATATCAAAATTGTGGAAATTTTAACATAAATTTTATTTCATCATAGATGATTTATTAATACCGAAGAGCAGATTTGATAGCATTTATTTAATTTATTTTCAGAATATGTAACACCCTACCCCCCCCCCCCCGATACCCCTGACCCAGGGGCATGAAATTAACCATTTCGCTAGATGCAGCTTTCTTCAACATAAATATATATACTTAGATCACTGGCATAAAACCCAGGAGCAAAGAAAAATATTTTCAAAGAATTCATGCATTTTCACTATAAAAACAATAGAGCCTCGCTCTAACACCAGAACAACTGACCCAGGGGCCATGAAATTGACAATTTTGGAAGAGACATCCTTCCTAATCGTAACTATGGTCATAGTTCATTGGTTTAATACCCAGGAGCAGTGAAGAAGATTTTCAAAGAATCAATGCATTTTCTCTATCAATAGAGCTCCGCCCTATCACCAGAACCCCTGACCCAAAGGCCATAAAATTCACAATTTCGGAAGAGGCTCTCTTGGTCATTAGAACTATGTACTGAATTATTTTGTTTAATACCCAGGAGCAGTGAAGAAGATTTTCAAAGAATGAATGTTTTTTCTCTATATTAGAGCCCCGCCCTAACACCAGAACCCCTAACCCAGGGGCCATGAAATTCACAACTGCGGAAGAGTCACTCCTACTCATCATAACTATGTACTTAATTATTTTGTTTAATACCCAGGAGCAGAGGAGAA